TCTATATTCCTCTTCTTATTCTGTCTTCTTAAAACAGTTATTTTATTAAGCCATTTGTTTCAGGCCTGCCTTACTGAGATCCAGAAAGCACCCCCCACTGTCTCTTTCTCATCTCATCCCCCCCCTCCCGCCCCCAATGTAGAACATTCTCCATAACCCTTCTGGAGCTTCATTCAAAATGTTGCTCTTGCTCAAAACTAAGCTGGTTTCAATACGGCTTTTTTGAGGGGCTAGAGAATTAGAGGGGAGAAATGTGCAGAATTTGTGGGGAAAAACTCACACACAATTATAGCAGCACATGCAGTTCAGGACAACTGGTGGGCAGGTCCCGGGTCCCTTGAGGGGGCTCTAGGAGCAGGCAGGTGGAGGGAGGGAGAGCTGGACCCTGGAGCCAGCAGGGAACCTGGAGGCATGTGCCTGGTTCCCACCATCCTGTGGTGCTTCTGCAACCACAGCTCCTGTGGTGACAATTTCCCACCCCTCTCCCCTCCATTTGAGGTCTCCTTTGGCAAAGTGTTTCTAGGCATCACTCAGCACCCAGCCTCCGCCTGATCCAGCTGCATACCGGGCTGTTGTTTTTCTAGGCAGAGGTTCCTTGCTCTGCTCCTCCACTGTTTTTTCTTGCCTAGTTACTGTTTCTTTTGTTATATTTGAAGCAGTTTTCCCAGTGCTCAAGGTTGTGCTTCTTCAATGACCAATGACTGTCAGCAAGTTCTTGACGATGCTGGGGCACCTGTCTTCAGCCTGCACCCATGCTTTCAAGGCCTTTGTTATAATGGGGAAATCTAAGTGTGGGATCACAAACAGCAAGAGACAGTTGCTATCATGCTCTCCTTCACATGGTAGTCTCTCAAAACAGACAGATAACAACCCCATAGGCCAGAGCTGGAGCCTTGTGAAGTCAACACGAGGCAAAGTTAGTATAAAGCCGGTGGCCCCTCACCAGCAAAGGCAGTCCTCTTCTCACTGAGACACTCTCATGGGCAAGAGTAACACCTCTCCTGTGCAGAGCCAGGAACCCACCTCACCCAGTCTAATGAAGTCTTGAGAACTGAATTATTATTAGCCCAGACTTAATTACCACTGAAAAATAAAAGACTGCTGTCACAGACAAACAGAAATTAAACCAACAAAAATAATGATACATTTAATATTGCTATACATAGATTCTATAGGGCTGTGGCTGGCCCAAGCAACCTGGATGCACTAGCAGACGATGGGACCTTGGACAGAGGTGTCGTTGGCTGAGTAGGAGAAGACCCACCCAATTTGGAAGGACCAGAGGTGAGAGTTGGTGACCTGGTGAGGCACAAAGATCAGATGGAACTAGAGGCCATGGTCATAGTCAAGACACCCATGAATGTGTATGTGCTCGTGGGTACCGAGAGCAAGGCTGTGTGCACCTCTTACTGATGCACCTCAGGAGACATTATAGAGCATCCTGGGCTTGGCTCCTTTGCAGGCACGTGGAAGGAAACTTCCCAAAGGGACTTGGAGGGTGGAGAGGCCTCCCTTTGAAAGGTGGCAGCCTTCAGCTTCCAGTCAGCATGTTAACAAGGCAAATTCCCTGGCTCCTCCTGCCCTCTGCTCTTTCATATAATTCCCAGGCCACCAGGCCAAGGCCCTGCTGGAAGCTTCTGTCCTACCAGACAGAGCAGCCTTGGGGGTAGCTGCACTCACTCAGCCCAGCTCGGCACAGCCAGTCTTGGCTCACAGAATATGTTTCCTGCCTGATGCATTCAAACCTCTCGTCTTCTGCTCTTGGCTGATTCACCCCAGCTATGGCCAGGTTTCATTTGTTACTCCTAAGTCATAGTGGGAGCTAGAAAATTTATCTCCGCCTATGTGGCTAAAAATTCCATGAGAGGGGGAAAGAAATCTGTTGACAATAGCCATCTGCATCAGACAGAAAACCTCCCACCCCAGCACCATGAAAGGGCCTGAATTTGGGAACTGCTTTCATTACCCAACACAGAAGTAACTTGGAAACCTCCACCTTATGGCTTTGTTCCTGTACAATCGTCTTTAACATTAAAATATCCAATGACAAGCAAAAGACGCAGCTGAAAGACCCCATATATAACAAGGTGTCATCAGAAATGCCTGTTGGAGCATGGAAACCATAGAGCAAACAGGGTTTTAATTTGCCTGCATACAGCAAAGCACTTGTTTCAGGTCTTCTTCACAGTGTTTGTCATTTAGGAAAAAAAAAAGGAAAAAAAAAAAAAAGGAAAAAAAAAAAGGAAGAGGCTCTGATGAGACCAGCTATGCCTCTGCTTTGTCAAGGCAGGTCTTAAGCTCAGAGCACTCTGAGCTTGCTCTCTTACTCTGGCACTGACTTGTTCTGTGCTCATAGAGCAACCTTCTCTTTTGGGGTCATGGGAGAAAAGAGACACTCTGAAGGAAGAGGAGGTTAAACACACTGTGGAGGAAAGGGCAGGGGGGTGAGGAAGAAGAATAGGAAAATCAGAACTGAGTAGATAAATAAACATAGTCTAATGGAAACAGCACAAGTCTTCTTATTACATTATTTTGTGGTTTCAAAGCTCTGGTCTCTGAAGGTGGATATAGAATTTTAGTATCTTCCTTATGCATACTCCAGTATTTCCTTGGTCATCTAGCATAAGAGAGTAGCCAAGAATGCTTTAGCATCCCCCCAGAAACTGGATGCTCAAATGCCAACTAGCAGATAAGGAATGAGCAGCCCAAGCTACAGCCAGCTGGAGGTTCTACTTCGCACAGGCAGTGAAAGCACACTCTGATCCCATGTTGGTGTTTAGCTGCTCTGATATGGCATCACATCTGACCCTTAAAAGTCATTTAAATACCAATGGTCTTCAAATTCTGCAATCACCATTCTGCACATTTTGCTCAAATGCCAACTAGCAGATAAGGAATGAGCAGCCCAAGCTACAGCCAGCTGGAGGTTCTACTTCGCACAGGCAGTGAAAGCACACTCTGATCCCATGTTGGTGTTTAGCTGCTCTGATATGGCATCACATCTGACCCTTAAAAGTCATTTAAATACCAATGGTCTTCAAATTCTGCAATCACCATTCTGCACTTCATTCATTTCCATCTGTATTCCAGGTAATGATGGGTCAATCCTGTTCCTTAAAGACCCAACATCTTTGAACCTTGATACAGCTAAAAGGCATGTTAGAACCAGGTGTGCATCTTGCCTATTCAAGTTTTGCCCAAGCCACTCACTGGTAAATTAATGACATGCAAAGCATGTTGTGAATCAACTCATTGCAGAAGCACTGTATTTAGGGAATTTGTTTTGACAAACCAAAACAGCCTGCTCATGCTTTTTTTCAAGTCAAGGGCAGAATTAACACTGACACCAGCCGAGACAGGAATTCTCTGACTCATCAAGGTTATATGATGTGTCAGTTTATATATGCAGCTGCAGCATGCTGGCCGTGACTGGCCTATCTACTGGCTCAGGAAACAGTGCAGCCACGTGAGCAACCACCAGTCCATGGGCATGCAACATTTTTTGGGGAAAAAGTGTATCAGAGAAAGTCCAGACAGGAGTTTTGTTTTTTTCCCCCAGCACAATTCATTGGCTCTTTGGTACAGTCAAAGCAGCAAAATAATTTCTCTGAACATTTGGGTTTTTTGTTTTTTTGGGTGGGGGGGGAATCAACAAAGACCTGGTCAGCCTTATTTCATTATTTGTGTTCATGCCCAACTGCTGCAGGATGTAACACCTTGCTTTGTCTGGAAAGCAAGCAAGCATTCAGAACACATTGCTCACAGGCTGCAGCTCCTGGCAAAGTCACCTTCATGCCGCATAACTCGCAGGTAGGGAACACTGCACAGTGGCTGCAGCTTGAGAGGGAACTCTCCGGAACCACTTGCCCCAACTCCTGCAATATCCTGTCGATATCTACAGGGTGAGATCCTACTCGGGCATAAGTGGCTCATGAACTGTGCCCTGTTGCTTTTAAAGATGAGAAGGACCATTACATCCTTGTGATTTGATTTTATGCCTATCACAGAATGTGACAAAAGGCCAACTTTTCCCCACTGAGGCTACCTTCTTCCTATGCTCTGCCTACAACCAAAGGAGTGGGAGGCTCCTGTAGATGGCTACTGAGAAGACTATCTCAGGCTTCTCCAGTATCCAGCTTAATGTGCAAATGCAATTAGTGTTCAAGCCACAACTGCGGAGAGAGACTTCCTGGAGCCTTTTCCAAATGTTTCTCACTCCAGTAATCTGTAATTCTGCTTCCAAGAACTGGGTGGGTTATGGCAGGTTGTGCTTGGCCAAATGATTTAAAGAACTAGCAGGAGGCATGCAATAAGGACTTCCCCAGCACGTAACTGAATGACTTGGTTGCATCATTCTCCCTCTCAGCTGTCATCTCAGGGCCTGCCCTGTAAAGAGCATCACTGGGCTCCAGCCAGTCATCAGGCTCCAAAATTATTTTTCGTAACTTAAATCAAAATCTAGAGGAAATTAAAAATTAGTATCATTTTTTATGCTAAACTCCCCAAGGCTCAGACAGGATTTTTCCTGGAACTCTGAAAAGACTAACCGCAAGGAGACATAATTTAGGCTGTTTATACTATAACAATTCCCCAGAAATAAAAATGCAGGTAACAGAGCTCAGTACAGTGATCAGTTTTATTTTGCAGGAATCCAAGTACAAATTCAGCTTTGCTTTTGTCAGATACAGTGTTAAAATTGGAAAGAATGAAAAAATCTGAAGCAGACACACTGCACATTTCTTTTGTGGGTTATTTCTTGTGGAACAGGTGTTGATTTCTTTCTCTCCCTTCCAGAGCCAAAGGCAAGCCCTAATCAGTCTGCCAGGTTTACAATCCATGCACGCTCAAGGTGTGTCATCAGCGATTCTCCCAACAATGTTATCAGCTTACAAAACAGTTGGCTGCCTTAACTAAAAGCTAAGTTGATGATTGTCTTCTAAGAAGAGAATATCACGTTTCTTCACTTATTCTATCTTGTTAGGTACATAACGGAGGAACTATTATTTCCTTCCTAAAACAGCATCATAGAGTTTTCCAGTCCTCTTGACTTGAATCTCTCCAAAGCCAGCTGCCCCCAGCTTGCTGTTGTACTCTGCTGCTGTTCGTTCTTTTCCTTCCGTCTGCACCAACATATTCATCGAATACAGCTGGGTTTCTAAAGGCCCACTTTTATCTTCATTCAGAAGCGATTCAACCAGCAGCACTCCGCCGCCTGGTTGAATAAAGAGAAATAAAACACACGCTGAGCTCTGAGAAGACAAGATCTTTTGCAGCTGAGTTATTAGATCCTAACCTTTAGTTTCAGGAAGAAGCAGCCTCCACGTTAAGTCATATTTCAGCATCGCAGAAGACAATGAAAGAGCAAAAGAATCGGAGAGGGCCTCTGCCTGGCTGCTGAGGTACTGATGTACTGGGGCTGAAGGGGATGCTACAGCTGGGATGGAAATTCCTGTTTCCCCCAGCTGAAATCCACAGGAGCTTACTGATTTTGCTGAGAACCCAGCTCTGTAGGCAGTATTTTCAAAGCTTGAGGGTTCAATATGATGCTTAATGGGATTTTTACTATGATGTATACACCTGTCTGTCTAAACAATTCCCCAAATCCCCAGTCCTTATACCTAAATATGTTGAAAGAGGAGTCCCTGTGGAGGAGGAGACTAAAACTGGAAGCCAGATAATGAGAACTTAGACCAGGCCCTATTTGGCTTGGCTAGACACAGCTGGCTTAGGAAAGCAAAATACTAAACCAAAAAACCCCTGCACTGCAACTCTGCCACCCAAATTGTGCATCGAGACTGGTGTGCTTCATGTAACTGACGGGCGAGAGTCTCCCTGCTCTTCCAGAGCTCGCACCTACCAGGTTTGCAAGCCTTGTGGACTTTTGCCAACAGCTGTCTGCATTTGTCATCATCCCAATCGTGCAGTATCTTGGATAAAATATACAGCTCAGCTTCTGGAATTGAATCGTTAAAGAAGTCTCCTGTAAAGCACAAATACACGTATTACTCAAAACCCCCAAAACACAGAGGGCTGAGTTAAGCAAATATTTTCAGTTCTGTCCAGTTCTAAAGATTCTGGGCTTGCCATGTCCATCACCCACATCAGATAGCAACAGAGTTACCAGGTAAAACTCCTCTGTGGCACTGCATAGGGGATTTTGTTCTTGTTCAGTCTCAAGAAGGTCTGAAATGTTTAAAAGCGGCAGCTCATCTGAAACAGCCTTTGATGCACAGGAAAGCATTTGAGTCTAAGTTTTCTCCAACGACAGGAATTCAGATTCATAAAGCATTAAGAAGAGGAGACAGTTTCTCATGGGTTGTGTCATGGAAAAAAAGGAAAGAGTTTTCCCTTATCTAAGCAAATTTTCAAAGACCTTCAGTAACCACAGCGCTATATCATAAATCCATAAGGAAAAAATACACATCTCGCCTCCTAGCACTAGCTTCATCATCATGCCTTCTGTTCAGCACCTGATGTACTGCATTCAGATTCTTCTCTCTGCATCTTAGTCATTTCCGCTCCCATTTCTTTGCACCACTGGCACACGTAACATTTCCTGTGTTTCTCCATCTTTGTTTTTATATGCTCCCTTCCTTCCTCTGAGCTTCAGGCAATACTAAGTCATTCCAACACTTTGAAGACTTTTGTAAACATTAAAAATTAGATCTCCCTACACTCATTTTCATCATAGATGGTGCAAAGACCATGCATGATCTATGGACTGGGCAAGAGGAATATGGGCTAGCTCACCCACATTCAAAGCCTGAAATATCTTAGGACTTGAAAGTCAATCGATCGTGACCAGAGAAGGAAAACCCCTTGCTCAGAGCAGGCCTGGCATCCTGCACATCTGCCAGGAGGTCTGCACAGGAGAAAAGGGAGTGTTAGGAAGATTTATAACATGGCATGGCAGTTTTTCAAAATTGCAGGACTTTTTTTTTTTTGTTAATGTACCCTTGTTATGAAGAAATCAAATAGTTCTGTTCAGGAGTAAAGAGCTTCTGGGTTGCTGAATAACCAAGTTGTGTCTCTGAGAGAAGGTAGCTGCAGGTGCACAACTGGGACAGCCCTGCAGTAGCAATGAATTGCAGACCTGGGCTGGGGAAGCTGCAGTCTGAGACGCTCTGCCCACGTAAGGGGGGACCTGAGCCTCCAGTACGGTACCTCTGAGCAGAGACAAGGGACTCAGGAGCAACAGCTGTGACAACTGCTGTCTGCACCTACCTTCATAAAAAGCGATCCGATGCTCCTCAGGGGGAATAAATTGCTCTTTTGCCACTTGCACGACTTTCGGCAGGTCATAAATTGTGACCGTGGAATTTGGGTACAAAGAAACACACTCCCGGGCCAAAGCTCCTCCACCTCCTTTGGGGAGAACAAAAGAAGGTCAGCGCTGACACTAAACCGATCTGTTCAGCAACACCCCCATGAAGCGATGCAGGCAACGGTGCATTTAGCCTCATGGCAGCTGGCAAGGTACACTTGCTCCCCACATGTTGCTGAAAGGGAAGAGGAGGGACAGGAGAGGCCACTGTCTCCATTTGCTCTGCAGGAAGCCCTCGGGCCCCCAGCACCCAGGCTTATGGGGTGGGCCCCAGCCCTTACAGCTCTTACGCACCCCCTCAGCCAGACCCAGCTGTGGATGCTGGAAGGCGGGAAATGAAAAACAGAGCCACTAAACCAGGCACTGGGGAAGCAGTGATGGAGCCCGTGAGGGAGCCTGACGGCTCCCATGAATCCTGCCAGCGCTCAGCAGTGCTGGGACAGCTGGGCGCTGCAGGGTAAAAGGCTGCAGACAATATCTCAACAACACTGACTGAAGGGGAGGAGGGAAAGAGTGTGGCACCGTGAGAATGTATCAAGCAAGGCAAGAAAAAATGCCAAACCTATCACGTACGTGAGGGGATAAGCCACTACTCACACAAATGAGACTCTGTAGAGAAAAGCATTCAGCTTCCTAATGCTCTCACCACTCTCACATTTCTCTTTTTAGCCCAACCAAATCAGTAAAACACTCCCTTTATTGCTGACAAGGTTCTGAGATATGTCCTGCTTTCCACTGCTGTGCCCGTCATGTAACACAGGAGTTATTTTTCTTTTCAGAGCTTGTAATAGAAGACAGTTCAGAGGCCTGTTAAAGAAGATCTACCGATGCTCACCTCCCAGGTCACAGATCTGCCTGAAAGGGGAAAGGTCAAATGCAGCAAGAACATCTCTACCACATATACTCCATACTGAGTTCTGGCCAGCCATGAATTTCAGCATTTCTTCTTCTGATCTAGTAATGGAAACAGACACAGCACGTACAAAAGGTAACTTACAATATCCTTGGCGATTCCTATCATATAACTGTTATTACAAGTTTTAGCTTAAACACTAATCTCTGTTTTTATTGACACTGAATACATTCTCTTTGCATATAAACCTACCTTGAGTCTTACTGTAGCAGAAGGGTACAGCTATGCATTCATGCATTTAAATAGGGAATTAAGACTAGCGAAGTCCAACAGTGTATTACGCTGCTAATTCTCAGGCTTCCAAGGGATTTTTTTTCCTCCAACCACCATTGCCTCTGTGCCAGAGACCCGTGATATGTTTTTCAAAATAGGAAATTATATACTTCTATTAAAAATATCAGACAGTGTCCCAGTAATGGATATTGTTGAGAAAGAAAAATGCTGCATGATGGTTCTGATGACTGGGATTCTCACATCACCGTAATTAATTGTCCTGAGCCATAATTAAAAACATTAATTTTATCTATGATAAGAAGAATAAAATTTCTATAAATATACTAATTATTACCTGTACATTGCTGCAAAAGGGTCTTTAGATGAAATGCCAAAAGCTCTTTCATATTGGTTCCTTCCTTCTCTAAAATAGCAACCAAAAAAGCATATGAGTGTAGATTTCTTTTTCTTTCACCCAAACACACCTCCGGGCTGTAGTTTCAGCTAGTTCTTCACTGTGGAAGGTGTTCAACTCTGTACAGAATATATGCCAGCCTGTTTGTAATGGCTGTAAAGGCACCCTCACTTGCCACCCCAAAATATGCTGATATATTTCTCAACCTTTCACAAGAATGACTGGTTCTTTTCAAGGCCAGGCTGGACGGGGCCTTGAGCAGCCTGATGTAGTGGAAGGTGTCCCTGCCCATGGCAGGGGGGATGGAACTAGATGATCTTTCAGATCCCTTCCAACCCAAACTGTTCTATGCTTTTATGATTTATGGGAACACATCTCAGGTAAAGGTGTGAGACTGGTGCAATCATCACCATCACACACACCATGTTTGATCATCAGTTGCATGGACTGGAACAAGTGAGACTTCAGCCCCGTATTAAACTACTCCTATACACCTCTGCAACAGAAGTATCCTTAGCCATCATTACTCATCATTTACTTTGTTGATGCCTCCTCAAGTAAGAGCCACTGTAATGATCAAGTGCTTTCCTGAAGGTCAAACACACAGAAATCTGATTCCTAGATCATCTCTACCATCAGAAAGAAAAGGAAAATGAGAACACACGCAAATGGTAAACAAGAAGAAACAAGAACACATATTTACTGTGTTAACAGCCAAAATGATCTGTTGCATTTTCTTTCTGAGAACCAGCAGGCATCTTCATTGTGCCCTGCCCCAGAAACACACCATTCTGAGAGCAGCCACACAGATGCTGCAAAGCAGTCTGCAACAGACAGCCCACAACACTCCTCCTTACCTCACAGCATCGGCCAGGTAGTGCCAGCACAAGTAGACTGTATTGGAGTAATACATCATAATATGATACTGAGACTTGGGACTTGATCTTGTAAGGTAGATGTTGGAAACGTCTGTGTTTCTGTAGAGGGCTAAAGGGTGAAATAAATATATTTACTAACATGTATGATATACCACCTTGCCAAGCCTATCATATAGCATGGTACTTATCACCAGAAGATGTCTATATGACCAAAGACACAAACACATTGCTTCTACAATCAATCCTTCCACTGCAGTGAGCAGTGGGTGAGGGCTGCTGAAATGTGTGTTGCCCCATTCAATGTGAGTAAACACTATCTACCTACACTTACTCCAGCACCAAACATTTCTTTCAAGAACAGCAAGAGGAATGCCTTACGAGTGTCATCATTTACCTATAGGCTTCTACTATCAGAGGAAGTTTTTTGTATGCTCTATTTAAGTGAGAAGCCCTTGCAGACAAGTCTTTTTTTCAGATCAACAAGGTCAGCAAGGGGGAGACAAGTCCCCAAAACATCACACCAACCACTCCTACCCTCTCTCAGTTCACTAGGGCAGGACCTTCTGCAGACAGATGAATGCCCAAAGGACTCACAGAAATCTCCCCTGCTTCCTCCAGTGCATCTGCAGTGGCATCACTCACCCACAGGACTGGCATACAAAAGGAATATAAAAGATAGATCCTGCTTTCCCTAAACTCGTTGGGCAACTACTGTAAGCCCTAAAACAGGGCAAGGCGACACAAGCCAGAGCAGGGGACGCAACTTGTAAGACTCTGGCTAGTCCTGACCAGCTGTCTGATGGCCACAGATCCCTTCTGACCATGTGGACTCAATATCTCTGATGCAAGGGCAAACTTACATCACCTCTCAGTTCAGCTCAGCTTTTGCACGAAGTTGTTTAGGGATATAGAGCCCTTCACCTGGGTTTTACTTTATACCTTTAATCATGCTGACATTTGCTGCTTCTCTTTCAGCTGAAGAGGGGATGGTGTTCTCAAGCAATTCTTTCCTCCTTCCAGCTACAGTAACTGGCCTAACACTAGATATCACCTCTCCCCACACACCTCACCTTCAAAACCATCAGAGGATTAAGTCTTTTAGTTTCTCCCCCTTCTTCTGCCTTTATTACCTCCTTCTTGTGTCAGCTCTACTGCCAAGAGCTTCAGTCCCACACAGGCATCCAGCAGTCTTTCCATCCCCGTGGTGCTGGTACCCAAGTGCGCAGCAATGGCATCTGAAGACAGAGGCTCTCCTGCCTCCAGCAGAAGATCAAACACCCCCAACTCACAGGCAGTGAACATAACCTGGGGGTAAGGAAAGGTGGGAGTAAGGGATCACGTGAAAGCACCAAAGCCTGTTGCATTTCTAAAGCTGCTTTGTTGGAGAAGATACACACATAATAATATTTTTTTTCATGTAAAATCATATTTCATATAAACAAGTCAAATGATTAAACTGAAGTTTCTCTGAACACCGATAGTACCATACAGTGCTTGTAGTACACCTTTCTTCATTTCTTTTCCTTTTCTGGTGAAGCCAGCCAATGTTTTTGGCTCACAAAGGTTCATGTTTATAGACCAGGTTTTGGGTGTGAATGTTTCTGCCTCTTCCTTAGTTTCAGAGCACATTCTCACAGTCTCTCTTACTTTTTGCCTGGAGAGCACAAAGGAAAGACTGGGTGGTGGTGGGTTTTTCTGCTGTTTTTGTTCTTTAACTAAGGATGTAATGTATGCTCCAGTGAACCCTGGAGACTCTCCTGTGGCTTGCAGGGGGGAATATCCCACCCTATGGACTCTATTTTCAGTGACTAACATGCATGACTGCAGTGGTTTCCCTGAGGCAAGGAGGTTCCTCTCAGCCAAAAGGCGTGCCTCATTCAGGCCAGCAGAATTGCCCTGTCTTTTCATAGAGAAGGAAGGTGTGTAACATCTCCAGGAACAACCCTCAACCTTCAGACAGACATACGTAACCATACATAAGAAAAACATCCTTGTTTGGCTGTACACAGTCAAATTTACAAGTATTAGCCTATTTCTCTGGCCACACAAACACTCCTAAAACAGTAACAAAGGCATCAGCCCGATTGACTGCCTGTATCTATAATGATTTGATAAAGTCCACAGGAAGCTCCTTTTACCCTCAGTAAGAATATGGTTTAACCAAAGTTGAGATCATTTCTCAAAAACATACTACCAGTGTTAATTCGGAAAGCACTAGGCACTCCTCTTTCTCACCAAGCAAAAAGATTTTTCATTATCCATTTTTCCTCTCTTTACTGTCAGCTCTGCCTTTCAGGAGCCTTAGGAGGCAGCAGTATTTGCACAACCCAGAGAGCATTCTTTCTGTTACCATGTTGGCCAGAGGTGCAGCAAGGGACAATAGGAAAGGTAAGTAAATAGTAAATGAGGAAAAAATCTCCACTGCACTGGATATTATAATTTTATGCCCATGTGCTTACACACACAGAAAGGCTAATAACATCAGTAAACAATAAGGAAAGTGGAACTACTAGTTCTACCTCTGTGCCTTAATCAAATGCTGTTTGGAAAAACAGTCATTATACCAGACTCTTTCTTTCACCTCAAAAGAGGCAATACAGAGAAGTTCTCAAGCTCAGCCTTCTGCATAATACATACAGACAAACCATGGGAGAGGGAAGGAAATTCTTTGAGAAGATATTTGAAAAATCTTGTTCTTTGCATGGTATGACGAGGAGGGAAAAAGGCAATTGAAGTCAGCCCTCTGTTTCTCAAACTCCAAAAATGAAAAGTGGGAAGAAATCCCACCACTGAAGGAACCTTCCACATTTGAGGCAGTCAGAAAGCAAGCCCTCAGCTACAAACTCCTGTGTTTTTTAGAAAGCCTCATGCAGAGACAAGGTCTGCTCATCCAAGCCCCCAAAGATCAGAGAGGTCTCAATAAACGCTAAGTTTATTCTGAGGTGTCAGGTCGCTTTCAAACCTTTTTTCTTTTCCAATTTCCTTCCTGCCTAGATGAGCAGACAGTTCCTCCTAATTTAGTATCATTAGCAACCTTATTTAGTATTGTCGCAAATGATTTGGTAACATCCATGAGATGGAAGACTCTTTTACCTTCAGTAAGAACATGGTTGAGATTACTTCTTAAAAACATGACATGAATGTGAATTTTGAAAGCACTGTAGATTGTAAATGAGGAAAATTAAAACTGAAATTGAATAGAGGAATTTTATGCAAATGCACATACACATAGGAAAATAGCATCAACAAACATTAACAAAATTGAAACTACTGCCTGTCTGCCTTAATGATGTGCTGTCTGGAAGAAAGTCATTATAACACACTCTGCATTCACAGTCCCTTCCATCTGAGGGGACATAATATACAGAAGTTCTCAAGCTCAGCCTGCTGCATGGTAAATTTGGGGAGGGAAGAAGATATTTGAAAAATCTTGTTCTTTGCATGGTATGACGAGGAGGGAAAAAGGCAATTGAAGTCAGCCCTCTGTTTCTCAAAATCCAAAAATGAAAAGTGGGAAGAAATCCCACCACTGAAGGAACCTTCCACATTTGAGGCAGTCGGACAGCAAGCCCTCGGCTATAAACCCCTGTGTTTTTAAAATTTCATGCAGAGACAAGGTCTACTCATCCAAGCCTCAAAGGCCAGAGGGGTCTCAATAAATGTTAGGTCCATCCTGAGGGCCAGGTCTGCCTTAGGCTTTTTTTTCCTTTTAGACTTCTATCATGCCTATTATAATTTTAAAGTCAGTGTAGTATTAGGATGCTTTCTTATGAACTGTTTTCTTCTCAGAGACATTAAACGAGGCCCTTGAGCATTCCAGTCTTAGACATCTACCCAAGACTGAGTTTTATTTCTTACCTTTGAGACTAAAAATCCACTGTTGTATTGCAAGATGACTTGAGGATAGTCAAGGTCTTCTGTGGAACTCATTTTCTTTCTGGACTGAGGCACAGATTGTCTGGTCCTCTTAATTTAAATAAGCTTCTTTCCACCAGGCACAGAGCACACCAGCTGATCCGCTTAATCTTATTGCTTCTGAGAAACACACTGGTTACAAAACCTGTTAGCTAAGTTATTTGGCTTCAGTGGGTCTTTCTACCAGCTTCAGCTGTTTCTTTCGCTCTTCCATCATCAAGTACAAGGCTAAAGAAGCAGTGCGGATTAAAGCTTGTATTGTCAGTTCAGCAGTCGGCTAACACGCTGGTACTTCAGAAGCACTTGAAAGCTTGTAACAAGCAAACCAGATATCACTACAGAACAGCATCGAGAACCTGAACTCGGTGCAATGCACCAGAGTTCATAAACCAAAGCAGAGTCTTACTCAGGGCTTGTTCAAAAGCAGCTCTACTCCATTGAGCTGGCTTTTTGTTGCTGGAAGACTTCCCAAGAATAGAAATCCTTACATATGTCAGTCAGCCCAATGACGCGACCCCAGAGGAAAGACGGTAATTTGGCAACACAATTCTTCAAGTGAAATGTGGACATTCCCAGGGGTTTAAGAGGGAAGGAATATCAGCTTAGCTCAAAGCGGTCATGGCATACTCCTGGCGAAGCCTGGCATCTCCCACGGCCCTAATTCCACTCACCCCTCACTCAAGCGTATGTACAGCACTTATCTTCTCCATGCTGAAACAGAGACTTGTTCAGCCCCGGGCTCTGGGTCACGTACCCAGGGCCTCAGACCCTACCCACACAAGGAAAACAACTGGCATAACCACTACATAACAGGCAAGAGCTGCCGAGGAAATAATCTGAGAGCAGAGTCCACACAAGGAGCTGAAGGAGAAGAAAGCATACCACCACAGTCTGTACCTGGAATAATTCCCATCCAGGTGTGGAAAGCCTGGGTGTGCGTCCCTGGTCTGGGTTGCAAGCCGTGCCCACAGAAAGGATAAAAGAAACATGTAGCCAGAGGGGAGCTGAAACTTGCTGCGACGGGCACAGGTCCAGCTGACCCTGGGGCTGGCAGTAGGGTACACCCCATCCCTAAGTACAGAAGCAACCAGTCCAAAGAGAAACTGTAAGTGTCTGTTTGTTGTGCTGCTTTGTTGCAGTGACCAGTTTGCTCTGACAATGATCATTCAGGTGAAGTCTACAAGGAATTAAATCTACTCTTGTTCCTTTTCCACATTTTGCAGGTCCCCCCACATAGTGGCTTAGAAAGCAATGCCTGTTTGATAGCAGCACCACAGCAGGGGCGTCCTACTTGTGCTTTGCCATGTTTTGACAGAGCAGGGTGCTGAGGGATGACAAAACATTCTACATTTTCCAGCTGGCTGCCACAGTCTTCCTCCCCTTCTCTGCAAAACTAACTAGGGACATGCAGAAAGTCCTTGGGAAGAAACAATGAAACGACTGCCAAATGCCAGATGTGGCATGGATTTCAACTTCATGCAGAACATACCTCATAGGTCTTTCATCAGAAAATTAAAACCCTGGATTACTTTCCCGAAACCTCTCTGCCCCACTGTCCATTGCTCCAGCTTGTAAATGCCTGCCATCTTGCCTTCCTGGGCAGACACTGCAACTCTCAGGTGAGAAAATACCCTTTCCATCAAGGAAAGACTCAACAGTTTTTGTATCACACATTTAGTGACCCTTCAGGCAACAACTTTAAATGAGATCTGACTTAGGTAATGGAGTGATGGCAAAATGTTACAAAATAGCATTTTTTCAGTGGTAGCTTTCTCCACGCTTCAGCGATTAAGTTAATGGGCAAAACTTGAGCAATACAGTGATCAAAACGCAGCTCAACATTTTGTGTACGTTAGCTTGGTGTATGTTTAAAGACTGCACTTTACAACTTTGTCCCAGCACAACATTTTAATGTTCTATTCCTTTCCTAGGAAGTAGGGTTGTATTTATACACTGCTGCAGGTTAGTTCTGTGCTTCTCTTTTGAACCTGCCTCATTTTAGAAGAAACAGGCCAGTATAAAGATTTCCACGTTCTTTCTGACCATTTTGTGGATGCAGTGAAACTTTCTCAACCGAAAGGTTCCACTGTATAAGCCTTCTGTGAATCTATATTTTCCATTCTGATCCTTACATTTCAGCCAAAAGATGTTTTATTTCTTTTAGCCAGTATTGAAATAGCAACCTACTTTAAGAGTTAGTTGTTAAAGTTAGCTAAGCAGATGTCACAGTTATCAGCCTTTTTCCCCTCTGTACACCGCTCAGAAACAGTATCTGTTCCCCAGGATCTAACACCACAGGGTCTCCTGCGTTACCAGAACACTAGGTCCGAACATACAAAAGTTACAGCAAACACCAAACTGTAGAAACACTTAGACCTCCTCATCCTGGCCAACATAGCCTGTAAATATAGTGCTATTGTCTTGCTAGTGCACCAGACCTCACTGTTCAGTACAGATTAGACACTAACATTCTGTTTATTTTGTACTGTGGAGGCCAGAGATCACAACACACCTCTCTGCCAGAGTGACTGTGAATCTGTGCAGCCTGCATTTAATAAGACATGGTTTCTCTGAAAGAAAACCCGGACAACAGGTTTCAAGAACACAGCTACATTCGTAATGGACATCTTCCCCTGCTATCCCCACCTCAAGGACAGCGCACGATCTCAGTTTCTATTTAGGAACTTCCATCTGCACACGCGCTAAGTGCGAGTCTGCAGAGTTCATTCACTTGCCCAAATCTAGACCCACTCTCACTGATCACGCTACAGCTTTTTCAGTTTGTCAGACCCATTCCAAAGACAGTTCTATGGGAAAAGAAAGCGCAAAAACTTCTCACTAAGTCTCCATCCATATGGATAACCAGGTCAACTTCTTTCCCTCAATAGCTTTCCCTCTTCTCTCATTAAAATAGAGAAATAAATTGTACAGAGATAAGTATCACTAGCCAAAGATAAACATTGTTAGCCAAAAGATTAGAAAGGTGTAGGAAAATAACAATATTTCTCTGCTAAAGGCCAATTCTGCCTGCCTGCTACTGAGAAACAAATTGGTGCAATTTTGCCCAAGCATAAAGATTTCCCATTCCCAGGATCATAACAGCTATTCAGATCCAGGCCATCAGCCACACTGGAAGCAAATGCTCTCCACACTGAAGTATACATTTCTCTTCTTCTGAGCTAAACAAAACAACTCTAGGAAAAGCTAGCTGCTGCTCACCAGCTTACAGACCACTTTCCTCAAATGACTCAGCCACAGATTGGTAATCAGATATTACAGTGACATTTAGTACAGCTGCATTAAAGATTCACGAGAAAGAAAATGCTCAACCCTTGATTCTTGTAGTTTTGACTAAATAACAGTTATGTGCACAACTGTTAGGACTAGCATGTCCTAACGGGCCATAAATTCACTTCACTTAAGGCAAAGTTACAGGGTACAAGAGGCTCTGATAATAAAATGACCACACAGACAATTAAACCCGCTTGAAGTACTTTTTCAATTATGACTAAATCTGTCTGTTGAGGACACCAGATGTAATCGTCTAATGGGATTACTACCAGTAGCGAGATGTAGAGGAGAAGGGTTGCAGATAACCCACACCAGATTGATGCAAAGCCACACACAATGTATTGCTGTTTCCAAGTAAATTGTTAGTGAGGCTTAAAGTCTAAGCTCCTCTTAAGCTACAAATGCATTCATGAAGATGAAATTGCAATGGCTTGCTTTCTCTGAAAACCCCATCAAGGTTTTTGTCATAGCGCTTAGACCACACGCAGGCTAAAGCTGTCACTTTACCTCCACGGTTCTATTTTGGTGATGAATTTTTCTTTGCCTAAATGACTCACTACAAATACTACACAAAAAATAATTATGTCATTTTTGCATAACATTTGAAAGTAAGAAATGATCTATGAACAAAGCAGATTTAGTAAAATTAATGTGTCTGCCAGTGAGAAATGGCAGATGACACTATTTTCACACGTGCAACCTTCCTTATAAGCAACAAGTACAAATCTCAGGGATGTGACTACGATAACGAGTTTCAGTAATGCCAGTATAGAAACAACTGTGCCTCGCTATCATTATTAAGCCTCTAAGTACGCCCAGCTTATATCAGATGGCCTGGAAGTGCACTAAGATAATACAGTTTGTGCCCTTTGGGTTTGGTGGTATTTTTTTTAAGAATCCTAAAAAGCCAAGATACCCTGTATCATACTTTTTCTTTGAAATAAAACATCCAGTTTTAACAAAATGCTTATTTTCTTCTTCATAAGTTCTAATTCTTCTCATGTTTTACAATAGATGCATTTCCCTAGTAACATGACTGTTGCTTCTGTCAGTTTTTGACAGCAACTAATTTTACTTTTTTCCTGTTTACATCACATATACTACTGGCAGACGTTTGGAGCGGGCAGGAAATCCTGTATACCCAGCTCATTCTCCAAGCAAACCCTCCCTTCTCCTCAGTTTTCCTTACAGTAAAAACTGACTGAGAATGTCTTTTAAAGTCCATCACAAGCAATCGAGAGTTGTTCTTGGTTTAACTTCCTGGTTTAACTTCCTGGCCTGCAAATAATCTCTCAACAAATAATTCAACCAAATAATCATCGAGATTTCTGTCAGAGGAAGGTCCCAGCAGATAAGAGGCATAGTCTCCCTGAAGACAGACAGGTTCACTAGCTAAAAATGGTAGAGGCCGAAACTTTAAAGAGACACAAAAAGAAAACCAAGACGGACAGCAGCTGAGGCAGGCTCTCATGTCAGAAGTGGCTTGTGCTCTGTCAAGCATCACAAAGGCAATCAGTGGACACGCAACTGCCTTGCACGGGCCACTTTACAGTTGCTAATCCTCTCCTTCATTTCTTCAAAAAGAGAGCTTCAGAAAGAAGCGTTCCCGTGGCTTGGCACAGGCGAGCACCCCTGAAGTCCTTTTACCTGGTGGCTCACCTCAAATGCTTTTTACAGCCTTATGCTGTTTGCAAGTGCGCTGGTTTTGGCTGAGATAAGAGTTA